CCTTTGCTGCTGTGGTAGTTTCGGCTGTCCTCAGTACCCGAGGACATACCTGGGTTAGCTCCTTGTCCTTGTCCTTGTCCACAGAGCTTGTCCACAGTGCAGAAGACGTCTGTGTCTGAGACGATACTCAGAATGCCTCCAATCCTGAGTTTCTCTGTTCTTCGTCATGTTTGGACTCATTACTGTCACCACCGGGACGGAGGCAGAGTAGGGGAGAAACAAGTCTTTTAACTCTAAAAATGTTAGTAGTAGGACTGACTCCATGACCTGGTGGTTCTGGGAGCCGGATCCCACGTGGCTGACTGCAGGTATGAATCTGGCCCTAACGACCTGGAAAACGTGCTGGCAGCTTGTGCGCATGCCCAGATCCTAACAGGACAGAGAACTGGAGAAGGGTTTGCAGCGTGGCCACTCCAGGGGTGCTTCCTCACCTCCTCTGATCAGTGTGTACCCAGCTCTGTGTATATTTATCCAGGGCGTGCACATGCCCTCCGTCCCCCCGAAAAAGTTAATAGTGGGAAAAATAAACACAGTCAGCCCTGTTTTTTTCTTTTTAATTTGCTGTTGGGCACATGCACTTGCCAGCGAGGGCAACAGTGAGAAAGCATCCTCCAGAGAGGCCCATCACACGGCCGTCCCTTCCCTGTTCTCTGGGGACGTTGGGCACATAGGCACGCGCTCCCGACGTGGTTCTTTTCATCCTTTCTTTGTGGTCAGCCATGTGGGACCAGCCACCTTAGCCACCACAGCGGCCAGCCCGGTCCGCCCTCTTGAATGACTGGCAGTAACTGAGCTGGGCCTCCACGTCAGGGCGCACCATGGGCTGCAGACGGGTCTGGTCAGCATGCAGGGCCCCGCTCTCATCACTCCAGGTCCTGTCATTCCTTCGTCTCTAATTGCCAGGGGTACAGGCCCTCTCCAGAGAGAGGGCACCCCCAATAGGCTGGGGCGCCCTGCAATCCCTTCTCTATTTCTCCATCCTATACCTGCACCCAGTTCTTGAAGCCCCTAGGGCCAGGACTCACACCGCGATGGGCCATGTGGGAGCTGGCTCCCCTAACTACTAGCCGAGGGGGCCAGTCCAGATTTCTGCTTTCCAAGTCAGCTGTGACAACTCTGAACTTGTTTATGCCTTTTGCGCTCATGACAGTAAAAAGCAATGCCACTCAGCATCACACACACCTGGCAACTGAGGAGAGATGGCTGCAGAACCCCTGTGGGAGCCACGTGACGGTGAGTCGGAGGGACAGTCAGGGGACCAGAGAGCAAAGCAGCTGGACCCACATGGGAGAAGTCCTGGTTCTCACCCTGGCACCTCCCAGAGCACTCACACGGTGAGCATGCCTGAGACCGGGCTGGCACTGGGCACACCGTGGCAGGGACCTGTTGGAGTGTCCCTCCCTCTGGCTCACTCTCTCACAGAGGAAGTGCATAAAAACTTTAAAAGAGGGAACCAGCAGTTAGTGTAATGGCTATGTCGCTGGACTCCCACGTAGTCGACCGCGGTTCGTGTCCCGGACCCGGTGGCTTAAAACTCACGCCGGGCGCGTGTGTGGGCGTGCCCAAGATCCCGAGAGGAGAATGGAGGAGAAGGGATTGCGGCGTGACCATCCCCCCTGGGGGGTGATTTCTCGCTTTCTGTCTCTATGTCTCTCTCTGTCTGTCTGGCGAGCGCACGCGCCCTACAGTGAAAATCTCTCAAAAAAAAAAAAAAAAAACTTTAAAAGACACAGTCGAGTTCAATGTGGGTAGGACAGGTATATAGGACTGAAATGTCTCATAAATCCAAAAGGGCTCTACATTTAGGTCACCAGGTTTCCTCTCAGTCCACAGAAGTGCAGCTGCAGTCGTGGATGTGGCTACGCAGCTGGATGAGCTCAGGCACCAGTCCAGGAGCCACACGCAAAGCCAGGGCCTCCCACTGGAAAGGGTCAGTGGCTACGTGGACATGTGCGTTTCAGTAGAAACTTGCTGTGGTTTGTGATTCTCCAAGTGCCTTTTTCTTTTTATGAAACCACTTTCAGTCCTCAAAGGAGCTTCTACAGTGAAGAGAAGAAAGAAGATAAAATACAAGTTACCTGAGATCAGGGGCTGGCAGGTGGCGTGGTTGTTAAGGGTGGTGGACTCCCACATGGCTGACCATGGTTCGAGTCCTAGACCTGGCAGGCTTGCTTGCTCACTTTCTCTCTCATTCTCTCTCACTCTGTCCCTCTCTGGTCAAATTAAAAATAAACAAACACATACATATGGTTAAATAAAATAATAATATTTTGCGGGGGAGGGAGAGTTTTTGCTATGGGGCACATATGCTTGCCAGAAACACAGAAAGACAGAAAGCAAGAAACACCCCTCAGGGGGGATGGCCACGCTGCAATCCCTCTTCCTCCATTCTCCTCTCAGGATCTTGGACACGTATGCACACACTCCCGGCTTGAGTTTAAGCCACCGGGTCTGGGACTCAAAGCATGGTCGACAATGTGTGAGTCCAGCAACATAGCCATTACACCAACTGCTGGTCCCTAAATAAAATAATTCTAAAAAAAAAAAAGTTACCTGAGAGCCCAGTGTCCCAGCCACTCTGACTCTCAGACTTTGTGCCTCTTAGCTTTCTCTCGCACCACATGCACACATTCTGTTCTTTCTTCTTTTTTTAGTCTTGCCATAGGCCATGTGTGCTGATCTGAGAAAGACTTAGAGAGAAATTAGGGAGTCACCCCGGTTGAGATGGCCTTTCTCCTCCAGTCTTGTCTCAGAATTGGGCATGCATGCACACACAGCGGGTGTGCCTTTCAGGCTGCTGGGTCCAGGATCGAATCGCAGAGCAGGACACTTGGAGCCCAGCGCCCTGACCTCCATGCCACTTGCTGGCCCCTATCTGTGTGTTTATTGGAATGGTCATAATTCACACACCCGTCTTTCTTAAAGCTGGTGCTCTTCTCTTGGAAAGTATAGTAAGTGCCTGTTTTAATGTGAGAAAGCAAGCTTCCAGGTCCAGGACTGGAGCCACAGTCAGCCATGTGGGAGTCCGGCACCTCACCACCTGTTGGTCCCAGCGAATGCATTTCTAGCTGTCACGTTCACTCTGAAACCCACTGGTCCCTTCAGCACCCCCAGGGGAAGCACGCTGCAGCTGCCCAACAGCAGGGGGTGCACAGGGCAGTTGCTATGGAACGACACTGACGTGGGGCTCCATTTTGAAGCTAATTTCTTGGGCCAGGTGGCATGGAGGTTACGTTACCTGTATCCCACATGGCCAACTCCATAGTTTGAGTCTCAGACCTGGCATGCCAGTCGTGTGTGCACCCGGAGTCCCACAAGGAGAAGGAAGGAGGAGGGTTGCAATATGGTCATCCTCCTTGAGGGTTGATTTCTCACTTTCTCTCTGTGTCTGTCTGTCCCTCATCAGCGAGTATACATGCCCTATAGCAAAAACTTAATCATTAAAAACATCCTGGCTCCTCGCGAGGTCCATCTGTCCTGCAGAGCTGCCGTAGTCTCAGGGGCCAGCTACGTTAGAACCGCAGTGCTCAGCGGGGTGCCAGCGCTGTGGCCCTGCCACCACGTGGGTCCAGGTGCGCCATCTCCGCTGAGGCCCCTACTCAGGCGAGGTGCTCGTCAGTCACGGTATCGTGTGACTGCAGCCGTGGGCGCCGTCTGCCTCTCAGCCGTGGTCTGTCCTGCTCCCACGGGCGTCCCCCTTCAGCCCCCCCCAGCCGTCGT